ACCTCGTTTTGGCGACAGGTAGCAGCTACCCGGGGCCAATCAAAGTGCCCGGCGACGTCGTCAACCGCACCACCATCGAAGCTGCCCTCAACGAGAGCATCGACCGCATTGCGGCTGCGTCCAGCGTCGTTCTCATCGGTGGCGGTGCTGTCGGCTGCGAGATTGCCGGCGAAATTGCAAGTGCGTACCCCAACAAGACAGTGACGCTTGTCGACGGCAACCGCGAGCTCATGGCGCACGCCGGTGTCTCGGCCAAGTTTCGCGCCCGCCTGGCTGCGAGCTTGGAAGCGCGCGGTGTCCATATCTTGCTCAACGAACGCCTCGCGCTGCGTCCGAGTGCGAGCTCGTTCGAGCGTCAAACGCTGACCTTTACGAGTGGCAAGACCCTCACGGCCGACGTGCAGCTGGTGACGTCGGGCATGTCACCCAATACGCAGCTCATGGCAGCCTTTCGCCCGGCGCTCGCGACGCCGCAGGGCATTCGCGTCAACGGCAGTCTCCAAGTCGACGATCCGTCACTGCGCCATGTCTTTGTCCTTGGCGACGCGAGCAACCACCCGTCGCCCAAGCTGGCCATGCTTGCAGGCGAGCAGGCGGCGTTCCTCGCCAAGGCGCTGGCCAAGACCATCAAGAAAGGCACACCAATTCCAATGTTCAAGACGGGCGAGGTCACGGCGATGCTCGTGCCAACGGGTCCGAGCGGCGGCGTCGGGCAGCTCCCCATGTTTGGCGGTGTCGTTGTCGGTGACTGGCTCGTACGCGCCGCCAAAGGCAAAGATTACTTTGCGAGCATGACGTGGGGCAAGTGGAAGGCGACGTTGACTCCTTGAGTCGTCTCGATTTTCAACGGGGCGATTCTTGTGTTTGTACTAGCCAGGACTTTGGTCAACATGTAAAATTTACATCTAAATATTGCAATGTCCATATCTCAACTGCACGCGATAACACGCCGTGTCGTTCAAACATCATGCTTTGGGACGAGGTCCACTGTACTACATGGTACCATGACACGCTGCTCGCCATCGGGATGTGGCTAGCAAGGACGCCCGTTGCAACAACACCCAACCGCACCACCTTATCACCGTGCAAGTTTCGTGTCTAGATTCGTTGGATTTAACACACACGTCTTGTCGTATCGAGGCTTAGAGCGTCATGGCATCGAGCTCATGGACGAGGTCCTCGGCCGCCGGTCGGTCCGTCGCGATACGCAAGGTACAGCGCGTGGCGAGTGCGCGGAGCGGCGCGGGGCAGGCGTCCGAGAAAGTCGGTTCGATCGTGCCTTGGATGAGCATGGCCATGATGGCCGTGTCGACCACCGGCTGTCCCTTGGCGTTCTTCAAATCCGCATACGGGGTCATGTGCGTGCCCATTTCGGCAATGATCATCCCTACAGAACGCGTCTATCGACTTTTGAGGGGTAGGGTCTATATACCAAACGAGTAGACGTCGGCAGCCACCGAGTAATGCGAGTCCTGGAGCACTTCGGGTGCCATCCAGCGATATGTCCCGACGCCACACGTCATGGTATTCTCACTCTCGGCCTTGGAGACACCAAAGTCGCTGAGCTTGGCCCCTTTCTTCGCGTCAAGGAGGACGTTGCGCGATTTCAGGTCGCGGTGAATGACCTTGCGTTCATGGAGATACGCGAGGCCGCGTCCGATGGGCCGAAGAATCTCGAGCTTCTCGGCCCAACTGACTTGGTCCAGTGTCGTTTGTGCCAGGTAGTCCTTCAGATCGCCCTTGTCCATGTACTCGATGACCGCGAAGAGCTCGACGGGGTTGTTCCACGCAGCACCACGCAAGGCCACAATGTATGGGCTCTTGAACCTACATCGTCACTCCAGTCAAAATGAAAACAGAGAGTGTGAAGGGCGGACTCGGCCATGAGCTTGACTTCATCAATGAATTGGATGGCGTCTTCAACATCGGCCTTGTGCGGCAGCAGCTTCTTGACAGCGACAATCTCCGAGTGGAGCGTGCCCTTCCAGACTTCGCCGAACGCGCCTTCCGAGAGCTTGCGCAGGAGCATGACGTCTTCAAACGGCAGCCGCACCGATGCCAGCGCTTCCAAGATCGGGTTGAGCTTGGCCGTCGCCGTCGGCGACACGCGGTTCATGACGTTCGGCGCCCGCACGTTGAGGTGCCCGATGGTCTTTGGTGTCGGCGGGCTCTGGCGGCGCTTCCAGAGGCAGAAGAGTGCAAGTGCGAGTCCCAAAAGCACAACGACCAGGACGACGATGACAAGAATCAAGGTCGACGTCGATGCGCTGGACGCAGCAAAGACGATTGTGTCGTCGCGGACCGACGCTACGGATGCCGTCGAGAGACCAATGGTACCGATGGACGAGAGAACGCACGCGTGACGCAGACGGAGCTGTTGTAGAGCGGCTTGGCGCCGCCGCCGACTGCGGTGCAACCGGTGGTGTTGAAGGCGATCGCACCAAACTGCACGATCGCACGGGACAAGGCCAAGTACGACGCGCTGTCGACAACAAAGTTGGACACGTTGCACGAGCCGCAGTCCCTACTCGTTTGCATCAATGCATGTACAAGAAGACAAGAGGAAACGTTGTACAGGTTGGCCAGACGGCGCGAGAAGGTCACGTTGACTAGCGACGAAATGGGGTTGCCAGACGAGCCACCGCCGAGCTTACTACACCGCGTGATCTCGCAACCCGTTGATAGCAATGGTTGGTACGTACACGATCTCGCAGTCGAACGAGACGTTGGTCAACGACCCGATACGGTTGCTCGCTGCGTCGCTACAGCCAATAGAAATGTACTAGTAGAGAGGACCACCAATGCGCGAACCATACAAGTAGTCGGCGGCAATGGTAAGGTTGTTGAGCTCCGTCAGCTGGTTGCCATAGAGCGACCTAACGACATCTCGAGTCAGGATGCCGCATCGTTCGGCTGCAAGAGGTACAGCGCGTGCAGGCCACGTGGAAGCCTGCTCGGGTACCGCGTCAGGTTGTTGAAACTCAAGCTCCTATTACCTCGTCAGCAGCACACGGATTCAGGAAGTCGTACAAGTATTCGAGGCCGCGCGGAAGCACGAGCGACGGTGGCAAGTCGGTCAACCCGCAGTTTGTCAAGTACCTATGGCGTGCAGCGTGAGTCGTCGGGCAACTTGGCGGCGTCTTGTACAGTCCAGTCACGTTGGCGGCCGGCAAGACCGTATCAACGAGGCTCAAGTTAACGCTCCCGTCAAAGTGCCTAGACACCGTGTCTGCCGGGGTCGCAGTCTCTGACAAGTATGTACATGCGGCTTGCGGGCCAGTGCGAGAGATCGCCAAGGTGGACCATGTTGCGGACGCGGCCCGTGGCCGCCACTGTCGCCGTCGTAATGCAGGACGCATCGACGACGCACGGCAGCGCCGCGCCGCAGTAGCGCGCCTCTGTCGTGAGCGTCGATTGGAACGCAGCGTACGGGCAGCTTGCCATGTCGGTGGGTTCGCAAGTGCGGAAAGGCTGCCTGAGCTGGCATTACCTTGCACCGTGCGTGATGGGCATGCTCGGCGTATTGTGATTGGTGATTAAGGGTACTTGACTAAGCGAATTGAAAAGGATGATCGGCTTGACGGCATCCACCACCCCAAAACCTGTCGAGTGATTGTGTTCGAGAGCTGAGGTCGAGACGGTAGCTCTCGTTGCTGCCTGGACCCCCTGTAGTAAGCGTGTATCGGATGACGACCAAAGGAAGCTCGTGGCGTGCGCTTGTCGGCACGAGATGCACGAGTCCGGCGACGCAGTGGTCAGCAACAGGATGGGAATCTACAGTACGCCACCGACGCTCGCTCTATCATTCGTGAGCTCTTCCACAATACAGCTGTACCTAGCACGCTCAAGGTGTCCATATCCATCTCGTTCAGTGTGTCTCGACGCCGGACTGCACAATATATTGCCTCCCAATCCACTCGTCGATGATGATGATGCGAGGGACGACGAGACGATGTTAATGGCTTACTGATGCGCCCGAGTCGGTGCATACGTTGCAGTGTGTCGATCCATCCAGTGTCTGGAGTCCCACCGCTCTGAAGGACCGTCGAGTGATTGATTAAGCACAGTCTAGTGATTGAATAATCGTCTCAAAATAGATTGCGATGGTGAGTGCGAAGGACCGCAAGCGCAGCATCGTCGAGCGCAAGCTTCGAGACATTGGCGTGCACGCAGGTCGCTACCAGAGGTCCTACACATTGCCATATTTTCATGCATTGCCAATGGGTCCAACGATCTCTATTAGTGCGTTTCGCACGCGCATGACCAAGTCCCACCACCCCTTGCAAGTGCATCGGAAGCAGGTGTGGGAGTCGCTCTTCCTGCGCAAGTCGCGTCATGAGCGCCGCGTACGACTCCACTACCCTCGTGTAGCATGATGGATGCCGAGTAGGACATTGTGCAACGACCGTGGGAATACCCCATGGCCGCGCAGAACCTCGCGGCAATCCTCATTCAAGTAGGCACGAGGTTCACAAGCCGATGCATCATCGCTTTTTGTGGTAGAAGCGCGTTCGGGGGGCAATCGCCCGGACGGCCCTCCAGGTTACACTCAATAACTTATGTCCTGTCCAATGGACCATTGGTATACTACTGACTAGAAGGAGATCAAGCCAGTCAAGCGAGTGCTCCGCATGTCCCTCATGCACCGCTTCATCGCGCACCATAACGGCACGTTTGAGGATCGGGACGGGTTTCGTCGATTCTGCGCCACGCGGCTTCAGGTTGCGACAATATGTTTTCATGTATTTGATAGGAAATATTGTCTATGTAGGCGTGGTACCGCATGCGCAAGCTCGCGTGGGCGTACGGGCTGCAGCGCTATCCCATGTACCACATTGCCGCCATGCAGGTGATCGCTTTTGGCTTCTTTTATATCGTGTGAGTGTGAACGACACGTTGTACAATGGGCTATGGCATATAGATCCAGTACAAGTGGCGCATGTACTACCAAAAAGCCATGGCGGTCTACGAAATGACACCGCGGGACCGCGCCGCCATGCGTGTCCAAAGCTTCTGGCGTGGCTACACCAACAAGCGCATTTACCGCTACTACCGGGACTTGGTCAACTTCCGCAATGCGGGCGACCCGATGCTCATGCTCAAGGCGATCAACCCCGCGGAAGCCCACTTGCTGGACGCTGCCACGAGTGCCCAAGTACGTGTCATTTGTTCACGGTACATGAGGGGCTACTGCATGTGACAAGGTGCGTTTTCGCCTTGGCGGGTCGGCGTTCCCGCCCACGATCTACTACAAGATCTTTACGCGCGGCGCAGTCTGCGATATGAACGCCTTTAGCCCCAAAGACTATACAACGGCCCACCAAGTGGGTCCTCGCAACATCAACGTCCGTCCGACCGCGCCGGGTACGGCTGACTTGTACGCCTTGGACTCAGGGGTAGGGTAGGGGTCGGGGTCACCAGAATCATCCGCGTCGGCAACGCGTTCTACGGTGCGAATCAGTGCGGCAGCGACACACGGGGGTGGTACCGCCGCTGGGACAACAATGGGTGGCGGCCCGTGACGTGCAAAGTGCTGGCGCCAACAAGTGACTTGGATCCTGTCACGGTTGGTATTCAAGTTGCGTGCACATAGCCAACCTCGACCTAGATTGTCACGGCGAGCAAGCGCAAGGCCCATCACCACCTTCGCGTCGTGCGACAGCAACAACTTTTGCAGCAACGCAAGGAAAAGAAGCGGCAATGGATGAAGCAGCTGTACTTGTACGTCGTCGACACAGTTACCGAGGCACCACACATGACGAACCATAGACAACAAGTCCATCCAACGGCGACCGAACCGATGGCGGCTCCCGAAGACGACCTCGACGCATGTCGAAACCAGGTTGATTTCGACGCCGACGACTGGGAAGCCCAAGCCAACGACATGTGCGATGTACGTCCTCCGTCAAATGAAATGCAACAATTTTAGTGCGATCATGATGCTAGTGGGCATCGGGACTCAACTTTGACCACTATCTGGTCAACTGGACAACATTGGGCACGACGAGCACGGCCAAGGACGAACTCTTGTCGCTTTAGCTGTCTCCTTCCTAGAATGTTTCTACAACAATGGATTGCACGCCTTTTTATGCTTGAAACCAGAGTTTGCCACTCCTTCGAGTCCCTCGACTGTATTTGGCGGGAACGTAGCGCCCGATGCTTTCCCGCCATCTTACAAATCTCGATATATTTCGATGCGCAATGCTCACTTTCAAATTTGTCTCGAAATGCCCAAGCGCCGAGCAGTCGACACGGGGCCGTTCCCGCCACCATTGCGACGCGCCGGCGACGAACTTGTCCTCGACCCAACGTGTCCTCGGCAGACGCTTGCGTCGTGGCGAGCTGACATGGACCGCAACAAAGTCACGGCGGCACGGCGCACGATCTACCTCGTGCCGCCTGCTATTTTGGACGCGCCACCGACGTCGTTTCCATCGGCCCTCTACACATCGCGATCGCCCATGCCCAGCAGCGCTGTCGATCGTCTCGAGGACTATGTGCGCGCATTTTACACCAACATGCTTGTCAAAACGCTGGCCGCCCCGGCCCTGACAAGCTGGGACAATGGCCGCCGGTACGTGGGGCTGATCCCGCGCCCGGGCCAGAGTGATAGCGCTGTGCGCATTCGCACACGTAAGGCGCCGGACGGTATATTTCCGCATCAGCTCCACCTCGATGACCTCCTCGACGCGCTCCTCGACGACGTGGTGCCAGACGACGCCTATGCGGTGCTCTGGCTCGTCGAACACGACCTCTACGAAGGGCCCGATGATGTGTTTACATGTGGCAGAGCGTACGGCGGCAGTCGCGTCGCGCTCGTCTCGAGTGCCCGCTACGACCCGCGCTTGGACAGCACGGTCGATGGCTTGGATGCCAACGATGCGTGGCCGCTGGGCCATGCCACGTGTAGTCCGGCGATCCAAGCAGCGGCAATAGCTTATGTGAACGCGGCTCGTCATGCCGAGGGTGCCGACATCTGGATCGATCGGCTCTGTCGCACGGTGACGCACGAGCTTGGCCACTGCTTTGGCATCGAGCACTGCGTCGACTTTGCGTGCTGCATGCAAGGCAGCGCGTCGATTGCAGAAGACTACCGACAACCGCCGTACGTCTGTCCCCTTGACGCGGAAAAGATCCTCGAAGCAACGTCGTCGACAATCGAAGCGCGCGACGCGGCGCTTCGCACGTGCTGCCGCAAGTACCCCACGAGCCCGCTCCTGTCGGCGCTCGCCGCGTGGACGGAAATAGCGACCACGACAATCTCCCGTGGGACCAAGCGGTCTCGAGGCATGGCACACAAAGAAGCCAGTCGATAGTTTCGAGGCCCCGATTGTGACGCGCGAAATTGATACCTTGATATTGCTGGTTTTGCAATCGACTACGTTCTTGAAAATCTAAAGCGACATTCATCACAACACGTCACACTGTGCCCTTTGGCTACACCCATTGCTACACCATTGTTTGCCCGCGCATGCAGGTGTGTCGTCGGATCGCAAGGCATCGCGCCGCTGGTCTGTCTACAGGATCATGCCAATCACAACGGCCCACGAGCGATGTAGTGACGCGGTCACTGTCCAAAAAATTCTACACTGTTCGAGAATCTACCTGTACCTCGAAGGCAATATGGGTTTCTAAGAATGCGCCCCACTACATAACCCACACTAAGCACGATTCCATGTCGCCATTTTCTCATCGAAGACAAACACACATTGTACTCGACAGCAAGAGAAATCAGAAAAAATAATACTACTCCCAAACGAAAGCTCACTTTGAACCTCACACGCATCGTCACGGCAAGAGACTGGGAACGACCGCGGCGCCGGATAAATACGCAAAACAGCACACAACTCAAAGCGCGCTCAAAAACTCTTTGGCGGCTTCGTAGGTCGTAAACATGACGGCCGAGTACGGCACGATGCGCACCATGTTGGGCAGCGTGCCTCGGAAGAGCGCCATCGCCCCTTCCTCCGCGACCACCTTCCGGAAGCAGTCGAGCATGCCATTGTAGCGCTTCTGCCCGAGCTCCTGGGCCTGCAGACGCTTCTTGACGCTGTCAAACGGGTACGAGATGGTTTGGGCCACTGCGCCCGAGAGACTGCCGATTCCGAGGTAGTCGGTCGTGTGCAGCGTCTCGCGCGATGCATGCAAGTAGCTCTTGCAGTACTCGTAGCACGCAAACTGGACGCCCTCGAACGGAATCGAACCCACGAGGCCCGACAAGCCGCCGCGGTACAGGCCGCGAAGACCCTCGACAGCGTGGATTTGCTTTAGAATCGATGTAATGCGGTGCGGACCGTCGCTCGCGCGTTGGACAATGATGCGCGTGCGGACGACCTCCATCGGGTAGACGGTCATGGTCGCAATCATGCCCGCGATCGCGCCGCAGATGGCGTGCTCGACATTAGATGGCGTCTTGTCGAGGCGGCACAACGACGCTTGGAGCATGTCGAACGTGAAAAACTTGACGCCCGAGTACGGCCCGAGGCGGAAACACCCAGCGAGATTGCCCTTCCAGAAGCCGCGGACGCCTTCGTGGGCGTAGAGCTGGCGGCACACGGTGGGGAGCGAGAAGCCCGAGTGGACTTGGAACCAGATTTTCAGCACGTCGAGCGGGGACGTGCACGAACGCGTGACGCAGCCTGCGACGGCGCCGGCGACGACCGAGCGGAGGCCATTGACGTTGGACGACGTCGTCGACATGAGCTGGAGTAGTAGTAGTAGTGTAGTCGAGATCCAAAGGCAAAGTGAGACGTCGACGGCCATAACTCTGGACAACTCTGAGATATAATCGACCAATAGGGTGGCGTGAATTTCGTAGTCACTTCGACCGCTGTTGCATTGATACGCCCTGAGGGTGCCCTATCACGTGCAAGCGATCTATTCAAAACGCTCAGCTTCAACAAGCGTCGCCGCCAATCACAATTGGGATCGCCATTTTGAATGACTACTCGAATAGGACCTTCAGTCAGTACTCGCCTTGCGAGTTTGCAACCATATTACCCGGGAAAACATTATTGATCAAATTACACTACCGTCTATCTAGTCGAGAGACCTTGTGAACCCGGCAACAGTACCGCGCACCAAGTGGGTCAGATATGACGGACGGATTCGGTCGTAACGAGATCTTGCACATCCCCGCCTTTCCATTCGTGACAAGCGTGAGCGTCCATCTTTAGATGACGAGTTGGAAGTTGCTTCCGCTGCTGAAAGTATGGAAAGGAAGCAATATTACGATTATGAGAGGCTCGAAGCATCAAGCACGACCGATGGTTTCGCGACGACCACGATAGTTCGCGTACGCCGGTCGTCTGGCGTCGACACGCATCGAGGTTCAGGACACGGTGCATTTCACACACGATCCTCGTGCTGCGTTGTGATTGGTGCAGTCGTAAGGTCGTGATCAGTCCGGCTGCCACGTGGCGTCCACAAAACTGGGATCTTCAAGCCATGACGCGGGCAGGCCTTACCGACGTCAAGGAATCATGGATACTGGGTCTTCATACCAGCCACGAAGCAGCTGCCGCACCGATTAGCAACACGCATTAGGAGCCTGTTGATGATTGGCGCACATTCAAATGCGTAAAAATGACGTTTACACGCCCACGGCTGTCGGGGCCGATTCAATCCAATCGGGCTTGCGTAGCGGCTTGCATCTGAGCTGCGCTTCTCGATCAAGCAGACCTTGTGCTTGAACACGAAGCGCTGATGCGATTTTTCTTTTATCCAGATGGCAGCCATTTGTCCCGAGGCTCGAACCCCGTACCAAGGTAGCCGACGCAGTGTTGAGCAGTGTAGAGAGAAACGCTCTCCACAGCTCATGATGGGCCCTATCCAGCGTCATGATTTCGATTGCGTCGACGACCATGCTCTCGCTTTGACAGCAGCCAAGGCTCCGCTCCATAGTGCCAACTGCAAGCAACCACAAACGACAAGAGATAACTTAGTACTTTTACAAAAATTGGTACAACACGCACATACACATCCATCGTCCATCATCACGCGCTCTCCATCAGAAATTTCTTGGCGGCTTCGTAGGTCGTAAACATGACGGCCGAGTACGGCACGATGCGCACCATGTTGGGCAGCGTGCCTCGGAAGAGCGCCATCGCCCCTTCCTCCGCGACCACCTTCCGGAAGCAGTCGAGCATGCCATTGTAGCGCTTCTGCCCGAGCTCCTGGACTTGAAGCCGCTTCTTGACGCTGTCAAACGGGTACGAGATGGTTTGGGCCACTGCGCCCGAGAGGCTGCCGATCCCGAGGTAGTCGATCGGCCCGAGGCTCTCGCCATCCGCCTTGCGCTCGAGTGCGAGGCTCTTGCAGTACTCGTAGCACGCAAACTGGACGCCCTCAAACGGAATCGAACCCACGAGGCCCGACAAGCCGCCGCGGTACAGACCGCGAAGACCCTCGGCGCGGTAAATGTGCTGCAGCGTGCGATGAATGCCCATGGACGGCGAGGACGAGGGCGTCGTGACGATGATGCGCGTGCGGACGACTTCCATCGGGTAGACACTCACGGTGGCAATCATGCCCGCGATGGCGCCAAAGGCTGCGCGGTGGACGTTGCTCGGGCGATGCCCTGTCTCGCTAAACGACGACTGGAGCGAGTCAAAGATGTAAAACTTGACGCCCGAGTACGGTCCGAGGCGGCAACACCCGGCAAGGTTCCCCTTCCAAAAGCCACGGACGCCTTCGGTCGTGTAGAGACGCTCGATGACGTGGCGGAGCGACGCGCCTTGGACTTGAAAGATGATTTTGAGCACGTCCAGCGGCGACGTGGCCGAGCGTGTGACGCAGCCCGCAAAAGCACCAGCCATGATCGACTCGAGGCCGCTCAGCGACGACGACGCGTTGGCGGCCATGAGATCAGGACAACGCAAACGGCAAACTGAGCGACAGGAGCCGAGGCCACGTGACAACAGATGGTTTTCAGTAGCCAATCGGTGACGCGTATTTTAAATGCCCGATCGGTTTCTTAAGGAGCTCTGACGGAGCTTGACAGAACAGGATCACGGCGGCAGATGGCGCCAACGGCCAAGTGGTCGAAGCGATCAGCTGCGCATCACGACCCGTGACGCCTTTTCACACGGATGGCTGCACCCTAATACCATGCACTTGAACGATCCATTGATCGTTCTCGCGAGGCCTGCACGAGCTACTCGTCGTCCCACGCGCGGTGCACGTGGGTAACACTGCTATTTGTTGAGCTTTCAGCTGCCGAGATTCTTCAATTTGGAGCTGCAAGAATGATCGGCTTGGATGAAACGAGAATATGGTTCAGGCAAAGGAGCTGGTTGGGTGGCACTCCGACCGATAAGAACCTGGAAGCTTATTGATCGCGCATCACAGTGGCGTACTGTTCTTCTTGCTTCGTTGGTGCTCAAGGGATACAAGAGCAGTGCTCGTCGATCCTCGTTGCTGCTATTCGCTGCGTGGGGGCGCACAGATCGTCCGACGTGTCGACTAAGATCTCTTGGATCATGCTTCTTCTCGCGACAGCACCAGATGGTCGCACAACTGCAACGTGCATGACATAGATACCGCACGCCACTTAAATCTGTGGTCTACGAGTCGTCGACTTCCTTGCATCGAACCCTGTCATCGTAAATGTCCTGATGACTCGACTTGATTAAAAGCACTGGTGGTGCCGCACGGTATCCGGCAAGGCGTGCTACTGCGACGTTGGTAGAGAGCACGAGGACATGAGTTGTTTCGCGATATCTCTTGCAGAAGGCTGCGCACCTCGCAATTTCTTCTTCTTCACGTGCTCACCAGGCCGTGAGGGCGCCCACGGTCTTGCTCGTCTGTCGTTTGCAGTCAGGAGACCCTTGGCGGCAAGCTCCGTGAGGATTTTCAGGGTCGCCGTCTCGGCCCAAACTACGTAGCGAGTGTCTCGAGGTTCTTCAGCGACGTCGGGAGGCGGGGCAGGACGAGCGGTTGCGTGAGCGTCGTTCACATCGGACCCAATGATACTGACATCAACTTATGGGGAATAAACTTAAAGGGATATAGCAGAGCACGCCAACTCTAGCTAGTGGACACTTGGTGGTGGTGGCGATGGTCCGCGGCCAAGTACGACTTGGCCGCTTCGTACGAGGCAAACATGATGGCCGCGTACGGGCCAATGCGCAGCAGGTTCGGGAGCGACCCGCGATAGAGCGCGCCGACGCCTTCGTTGGCGACGACGCGGCGCGCGCAGTCGAGAAGGCCCGTGTACTGCCGCGAGGATCCAAGGTCTTGGGCTTGTAGCCGCTTCTTGATCGTATCAAAAGGGTATGCGGCGAGCTGCGCGACGATGCCGGAGAGACTGCCCGTGACAAGGATATCGATCGGGCTCAGCTCCGTCTTGGTGGATGTCCATCGCCATGCTGGCCAGCGGTGGGTGACAGCGTACCCTCGGCCAAACTCGTAGCAGGCAAACTGAAGGCCCTCAAAGGGAATCGCACCGACAACGCCGGTGAGGCCACCCCGGTACAAGCCACGGAGGCCCTCGCGGACGTAGAGTTCACGGAGGCTGCCGCATATACCGCGAGATGGCGCCGAAATGATGAGCCGGGTGCGGACGACCTCCATGGGGTACACGGCCATGGTGGCCGCCATACCAGCGATCGCGCCGTCGACCATGCCGCTCCGAGGATGCTTGGCGTCGTGGAGCGCGTCGTAAACACAAAATTTGATGCCGCAGTAGGGGCCGAGGCGAAGACAGCCGGCGAGGTTGCCCCGCCAGAGCCCCGCGACGCCAGTAGTCGCGTAGATATTTCGGCACGTGGCGCGCAGCGTGGAAATCGCCTGGTGCAACGAGGGACGAGCCATGTTTGTCGATGCAGTCGCTTGGAGTCGGATCTTGAGCACGTCCATGGGCGACGTACACGAGCGGGTGACGCAGCCGGCAAAGACGCCAGCGACAACCGACTGGCCGCCCGAGAGCTTGGTACTACTTGGCATTTCGAGGTCAATGCAACAATCGATGCGGGCGACCAGAGCTTTTCAAATCTTCTACAAAGCTGCCGCGTCTCTATGCAAACGGACGTTGCGCCTGCATGGCTCTGCGACGGTGGCATACACAGGTGGATGGATGTGGGCAGTGATGCGGTGTACACTTCATTTGCACGGTCCTTGCAACCAGAACGACGAATGAATGCCGTTGGTGTCGTCGTGACGCGAGGGGGTGTCCTTTCCCGTCCAAGCGCAACCCCAACCCTAGATCCGACGCGTTCGATCACCGACGCTGGGTCAATATTACATCCTAGTCACGGCCAAGCGTTCTGTTTCACCCACCGCCAGATATGACTATGCGATCGAGTCATCAGCAAATCGTAGGGCAATGAGACGGCGTTGATACGGCTGCGATCGAGCGTTGGACGATCTACGCGCCGTACTTGGGCGCGTAGCCGAGACGAAATGCAATCTCCTGGAGCGCCGCGTGGGCTTGCAGGATGCCGTAGCCGCCGTGCGCGAGCATCGACGCAGGGTCAAAGCGCTCGAGCGTGTCGGGGCGGACTTGGTCACGGGCGTAAAAGGCGTACGCGAGCGCGCGCTGGCTACGGAGACATGCACAAAATATATGGTAAAGACATGAATGACCAGTACCTCTCGACAGCGTCCGTGCGGTACGAGTTGTGCACCTTGGCCCAGCTCTGCTTGGGCAGCGGGAACAGCGTGCGGGCTTCGAACCTCCGGTCCGACGGCAAGCGCAGCGTGGGCGTTTCCTGCAGCACGCCAAAGAACGTCGTTGGTTGTTCCTGCACGAGCTGCAGCAGCGTGGCATCGAGCGCCGCTACAGCCGCAACGTTGATTGTATACATCTCCAAGGAGAAGATCAAATGGAGCATACGGGTATAGTCGGCACGGTCCATGTACACGAGCGTGAGGTTGCGCGAGGGCTCGCTGGCAGCGGCGCGCGTGCGGGCGGGCAGATCGTCCAAGGCCACGTGCTCGTACAGCGCACCGTCACGCACGTCGGATGCCATGCTCGCCTTGGTCGTCAAGAGCACATGTGGCACGTGGTACTGCATCCTACAGGACGACGATGCTGGCTTGCATGACGGTGACAGGAAAGGGCGTACAGAGAGGGGCTCGCGCCAGCGCCGGCAAGACCGAGGAAGCTACGAAGTGCGGCGTCCTCGACCGCGGCCTCGTTGTCAGCGTCGTCGCCTACGTCGTGGCCATCAAGACGCCGAGGCCATGGGTATGGCTACCAGACGACGCGGCAACGCCCGCGCTGCAGCCATGGCGAGCCACATGGTCGAGGAACGCGGTCGACTTGGTCTCATGCTCGGCGCCAGCGTCGGTGAGGAAGAGCACGATGGCCCGGCGGGCGACGAGCGACGGCAATGGCGCAGCCTCGTCGGTGCACATGGGCGATAATTTGTAATTTGATCCAATCAAATCGCATCCACGGTGTGGGTTTTCGACCAATCACAGATCGCATGCGCCACAAACGTGGCACGACGAACAGCGACCACGATCGCCAGCACGTCAATAATGTCTCTTTCCGTGTAGACTGCAAGCACGTACCAAGTACTCTTTCCACGAATCTCGAAGAGTCGACAACGCGTGTCTGCGCAGACAAGAAATGCTATGCGAGGTGCGCGCGAGCAGTCCGAGCACCCAACGCGACGACAGACGAGCACGTCACGCCCGACCCGCCGCCTGCGCAGACACGAACGAGGGAGCGAGTGCATCAGGTCACTACGCAGGCAATAACCTCCTGCCAATCTGTATCCATCCTCAGGAAGCCCCCGATGCTTCGTGGCAGTCTCGACGATCACACGCCAACGCAAGCACAGTACGTACGATCGATACTGCACCCAATGCATTGTTCGGTGCATCGAGCTTACAACTTGAGCGACGGCAACAGCTCCTTGTCGACAACGCCCTTGATGAGCGTGCTGCCGTTGATGATCTTGGTCGTGGCAATGATGATGTCATACGGACCTACACCCGAATCAGCAACCACAACCCTATACGACTCCGTACATTCTGGCTGCTTGGACAGGTGACGCAGCGCAGCAATCTCCATAAACGTGACGCCACCGATAAAGTAGACCACCATGACCTTGCGGTCCTCGTCGCCAAGTCCTTCCTTCTTGGGATCTACTTGAAAGTCAACGACATGCATCCATGATCGCCGGTACCCGGGTCGGCGTCGCCCGACTTGGGCGGGAGCTGGCTGATCTCGTCGCTCGGGCCTGGCAGCTGCTTGAGCGTATCGGTGATCGTACGCCACCCCGTGGTGTGCGCCATCTTGTTGGTCGCGGCAATCTCGACGAGGCGGACGCTGAGTGGTGCATACCCCTTGGTCACATACCTAAACACACGATCGATGTGTCAATCTATCGATCCAGTGAGAGAGGAAGAAGTGAAGTCGCACGCAATGTCCTTTGGGTTCATGACGTTGACATTGTCGTTGATCAAGCGCAACGACTTGCGCACGGTGAGAAACGCCGACGAGCTCGCGACGGGAAAGAGACTGTCTTGGCGGCGAAGGAGGCCAATTTTCTCCAGGTTCGTGAGCACGGGTAACATCTCAAAGCCGTAGGTTTGGATGATTTCACGCCGAAGGTGGTCGTACGCCTTGGCTTTGATGCCGCCGCTCGTGAGCGATTGCAAGCAGAGCAGTCGGAGCACCTACACATGACATTCGTTCGTTGCGTCGACGCGGAAGGCTACCTTGAGGAGCGGTTCCTGGACACCAATGAATTCTTCGAGTTCGTCAATGAGCACTTGGCCTTCGAGCATCGACCGCTCCGTGAACCACATGTCGTTGAAGCTCTTGGAATCGGTCGTCTTCTTGAGCAACTAATCGTGACATCTTTTAGCATCCCACCAAAGGTCTGCACCAGATAGGTGCGATGGACCTGCGCCAGGTTGGTGTGTTGGTTGAGGAGCTTGTACTGCTGCTGGAGGCCCGGAATGCGCTTCACAAAGTCCCGAATTTCCGAGATCGACGCGTTCTTCTTGCGAAATTCCTCGTGGCTACGCCAAATTGTCTTGTGAGAAACGAGAAATCCAAGCAAGCGGCGCGCACCGGTCGCGAATGTCCTTGGCGAGGTGCTGGAGATGCATACCGAGACGCTCCGTGTGGAAATCCCGAATCTCCGCGTAGAGATCGTCGCTCGAGTTGAGGGGCACGGTCGCCATGGCCGGGCGCGGCGGCGGCGGCGGCGCGTTCGCCTTGGGCTTCTCCGGCGGGTCTTCCACGAGCTCGGACGCGACGCGGATCGAGCCATGGGCGATGCCAATGATCTCGTCGAGGAGGCCCTCGTACGTGAACGGCGTGCAGAGCGGTGTGACGAGGTCGACCGTGCGGTCGAGTACGATGAGCGTGTCGATCTCGGCTTCGGCCGACCCAAGCGCAATGCCATCCGACTTTTGCTTCTTCTGCATGTGGGCCGCCATCTCGACCGCGACCTTGGCCATCGCGCCCTTGTACTTGATCTAATAAACGAGAATACATAAAGTCTGGAGACACGCAGGGTCGATGTGGCGACGATACCTGCGGGATCAATCCAAAGAGAATTTGAAACTTGTTGATCGACGTTGCGATCGTCTGGAGACACGACTTGTCATTGTCGACAAAGAGATCGCGAAAGCCGTCGTGGAGCTCGAGCGTCAGCACGTCTTCTTCGTACGGGACGAGGTCCATGGGAAACTCGCCAAAGACGATCGAGCCATGCACGCCGGCCTTCTTGAGCAGCTCGTCGCAGGCTAGCGTGCGCTTGGGCGTGCACAGCATGTGGAAGCGCACCTTCTTTGGGTCCAAGCCTACGGCTGTTGCATGAGGCGAGGCAGTACGGAGCCGATGGATGTGCGTACTCTTGACGATGGCCGCAATCCCGTTGGCCGCCGCCGCGGTCGGGCGCACGATAAAGACCATAACGTCGTAGCCCGACCCTGGGTTCTCAGCAATCTCGGGCGAGAGCTCGCGGAACTGGACCACGTCGTAGTCCTTGAGGATGCTCGCGCCTTCGACGAGCACGTGCTGGAAGAGGCCGCTGAGCTCCGGGTCGAGCACGAGCGCGATGCTCGTCGGGCGGTCCTTGATGTGGCACTTGGTCAGCATGTCGAAGAGCAGCCGGCGCGTATCCTCGCGGAAGACGCCAATATTGACCGCGCTGTTCTCGAGCGACGCGACGCGGGCAGCCATGCTCGTCCTCGTTCCGCAGTCACTAGATGAGGCAAGGTGCAGAGTTATAACATCATGTTAGATTGCGCTGCTATTTTCGGCATCTGCGTTTTATTTGCGGCATCTGCCTTCCATACCGAGTCCAGTTGTCCGGATCCGCAGAATCGTCCTGATACTTCTCGGTCGGGGTAGGATCCATGCCAATAGCTAATGGTAACTACACTATCCTGTGCGTAGCCTTGGATACGCTCTTGGATAGTCCGTCGGCCCATCTATGCAAGAAATTTTGGGCGTCCGCAGCAAAGCCAGGCTTTATTACGCTTGCATTCAATCCCATCAAGGCGAGATGCGCCCGATATGCATCTCGCCGGTATCCCTCCTCGCTCGCGCCAAGTGCGGTAGTACGTACCTCCCTTGTGATCACTGCGAAACGCTTTGCATCGACCCCTGTCTTCTTGGACGCCTCGTACCAAGACAGCATGCGCACGCTTGCTCCTCCCTTTTGGCTCTCGACGTCGTTCGTCGATCAACCGTGCGACCATCCATCACTTGTGTCAAGTAAACGGGCATGGATCACGGCCCCGAATCTGCGCGTGATCCAAGTGTTGTCGCGTTGCAAGAGACAAGCCAGTCGCTAGCCCTTTCTCTACACATATCGTGCACAGCACGTCTATATTCGGACATGGCCTTCTTATGGGATCGGTGTCGGCGGTTTGGTTGATGGCCCTGGGTTTGGTGGTAATCGAAACCCTGCAAGATCCAAGGTAGCCAATCACAGCGCTCCGCCGATTGGCCTCCCGATCCGTTCAGTTGCAAAGTTTCCAGCACGAGCATGCCAACCGACGCCACAACCAACGCCACAACCACCGCCGCCGACGCCGCGCCGACCGAGTACATCGCTGTCGCGACGCCCAAGGCTGGGGCGGCGACCACCCTCGACACGCCGACGCCGGCCCACGAGAAGGGCCAGATGGTGCCGCTCACCAAGCTCTTTAGCTACGCCGAGCGGACCGACGTGCTCCTCATGGTCGGCGGCACGCTCTGCGCGATGGGCACGGGCGTCTCGCAGCCGCTCCAGATCGTCTTCTTTGGCGACATCCTCTCGGCCTTCAACCCGGGCGCGACCACCAACACGAACGTCGGCGACGCGATGCGCGACGGCATCAACAGCATTGCGCTCAAGTTTGTGTACCTCGGCATTGGCGTCATCGCCTGCGGCTTTGGCCAAGTCGCGTGCTGGTCGATCGCGGCGTCGCGCCAAGGCAAGCGGCTCAAATTCGAGTACATTCGCGCGATCCTCCGCCAAGAGATTGGCTGGTTTGACGTCAACAAGCCCATGGAGCTCGCGACCAAGGTCGCCGACACGTCGCTCATCATCCAAGACGGCATTGGGCGCAAGGTCGGCGACGGCATCAACTTTTTCTCCATGGGCATCAGCGGCATCATCATTGGCCTCGTCAAAGGCTGGAAGCTCGCGCTGGCGCTTCTGGCGTTTACGCCGTTCATTGCGCTCACGGCCTTTCTCATGGTCAAGACCTTGTCGAGTGCGATCCAGATGGGCATCTCGGCGTATGCGTCGGCCGGCGGCATCGCCGAAGAGAGCTTGAGCAACATTCGGACGGTCCAGATGTTCAACTCGATGGACAAGTTTGTCGCCAAGTACGACGTGTCGCTGCTCGCGACCGAGAAGGCGGGCATCCGCAAGGGCATTGCCATCGGACTTGGCACGGGGGTCATGTTTGGCACCATCTTCTTCACGTACGCCTTTGGCATGTGGTTTGGAGCCGTCCAAGTCGCCGACGACCAGCTCGGTAGCGTCAAGTGCACATCGGACTGCTACGACGGCGGCCGCGTCCTCACCGTCTTCTTTTCCATTATTATGGGTGCGATGGCCCTCGGCCAGTCGGGCCCGTCGATCCAAGCGGTCTTCTCGGCGCGCACGGCGGCGTATGGCGTATTTGCGATGATTGAGCGGACGTCGCAAGTGGATCCGCTCGACGACGCCGGCGCCACGCTGCCACACGTCGAGGGCGAGATCCGCTTGGAGAATATCGAGTTTTACTACCCGGCGCGCCCCGACGTCCGTGTCTGCTCGGGCTACACGCTGCAGATTGCGGCCGGCGAAAAGGTCGCGCTCGTCGGGCCCAGTGGCAGCGGCAAGAGCACGATCGTGTCACTCCTCGAACGGTTTTACGACCCGACGCGCGGCACCGTGTACCTGGACGGCGTCGACCTCAAGACGCTCAACGTCAAGTGGCTTCGCCAGCAAGTGGGCCTCGTCGGCCAAGAACCGTCGCTGTTTTCAGTCTCGATCGCCGAGAACATTCGCCACGGCAAGGACGGCGCGACGATGGACGAGATCATTGCGGCCGCCAAGCAAGCGAACGCGTACGACTTTATCATGAGCTTTCCAAAGGGCTTTGACACGGAGGTCGGCGACCGCGGCGCGCAGCTCTCGGGTGGCCAGGTAGGCTTTCTTTTCTGGTTTTATGCGTTTTCGAGGCATGACGATTGATATCTTGATATTTTCCATAGAAACAACGCATTGCGATTGCCCGCGCCATCATCAAGAACCCGGCGATTCTGCTGCTCGACGAAGCCACGTCGGCCCTCGACACGGAGAGCGAGCGCGTCGTCCAAGAGTCGCTCGACATGCTGCTCTCGACGCGGAAGCGCACGACCATTATCATTGCACACCGCCTCTCGACGATCCGGGATGCGGACCGTATTGTCGTTTTGGAAAAAGGCGTTGTTGTCGAGCAAGGCTCGCACACGGAGCTCATTGCACGCGCGGACGGACACTACCGCAAGCTCGTCGAGGCGCAGTCCCGAGCGCACACGAAGAAGGACACGCCAGAGGACGAGCCCGTTGACGCGATGGTGGACGTAGCGGCCGACACGCCTGCCGCCGACGCGCGCAGAATGAGCTCGGCCAAGGCCCTGGTCGTGCCACCATCGCATGACGCTGCCAAAGCCGACACGGCCGCCGTCTATCAAGTGCCCATGTCGCGCGTCTGGAAGCTCAGCGCGCCAGAGACGGGCCACATTCTGCTCGGGTCGCTCGGCGCGGTCGTCAATGGCGCGATCTTTCCGGTCTGGGGCGTGCTGTTGACCAAGGTGACGGTGCTCTTCTTCGACTACTCGCTCTCGGGCGACGAGATGCGGACGCGGGCGTCGCACTGGGCGCTTGGGTTTGTCGGTCTCGGCGTCGCGTTCTGTGTCTCGGTCGTGGTGCAAAACTACGGCTTTGCGGTCGTCGCCGAGCGCCTCACGCACCGCCTGCGCTACATGGGCTTCAAAGCCATGCTGCACCAAGACATTGGGTGGTTTGACTTGGATGCGAACGCGTCGGGGGCGCTGACCACGCGGCTCGCGACCGACACGGCGATGATCATGGCCATGACGAGCGAGACGCTCAACCGCGGCCTTGTCAACGTGGCCACGCTCGGCGTAGCGTTTGGCATTGGCTTTTACTACAGCTGGGAGATGACGCTGGCGATGCTGGGCATCTTTCCGATCCTCGGCGCGGCCTCGTACGTCCAAATGCAAATGATGTCGGGCCATGGCAAGGCGCTCAACGAAGGCGACACGAAGGCCGGGTCGCTTCTCGCCGAGTCGATCAACTCGGTGCGCACGGTCGCGTCCTTTACAATGGAGTCGAACGTGCACCAGACGTACCTCGGACACCTCGCGACGTCGGCGGCTGCGGATGTGAAGGCGGGTCTCGGCGGCGGCATTGGCTTTGGCGTCTCGCAAGGCGTCATGTTCATGGCCATCGCGTTCCTCTTTTGGCTCGGCGGTGTCTTGATCACGCGCGAGAACTCGAGCACGACGTTCGAAGACATGTTTATGGTCATGATGGCCATCATGCTGAGCTCGTTTGGCGTCGGCATGGCGGCGCAAAACATGACGGACGCGGCGAAGGCCAAGGTGGCGGCCGCGAGCCTCTTTGAGACCGTCGACCGCCTCCCGCCCATTGACTGTGCAAGCGAGAATGGCGCGACATTGCCGACCGTCCGCGGCGAAATTGAGCTCCGGAACGTTCGCTTTAGCTACCCGTCGCGCCCGAACGCACCGATTTACACCAACTACAGCCTCCGCATTCCGAGCGGCGCGACGGTCGTCCGAGCGGTGCGACGGTCGCCCTTGTCGGCGCGAGTGGCTGCGGCAAGAGCACAGCGATCAGTCTGATTGAGCGGTTTTTACGACCCGAGCGCGGGCGCTGTGTACCTCGATGGCGTCGACATCAAGAGCCTCAACGTCAAGTGGCTCCGCCAGCACATCTCGTTGGTGGGACAAGAACCCGTCCTGTTTGCGGGCTCGATTGCCGACAACATTGCGGCCGGCAAGGACGGCGCGACGCGCGACGACGTAGTCCAGGCCGCGACGATGGCCAACGCCCACGACTTTATCTTGCAGTTTCCCGACGGCTACGAGACCCAGGTCGGCGACCGCGGCGTGCAAGTGTCGGGCGGCCAGAAGCAGCGCATTGCAATTGCCCGCGCGATCCTGCGGGACCCCGAGGTGTTGCTCCTCGACGAAGCCACGAGCGCGCTCGACAATGAGAGCGAGCGCATCGTGCAAGCGTCGCTCGACAAGCTCTTGCAGCTCAAGAAGCGGACGACGATCATTGTGGCCCACCGGCTCACGACGATCCAGAACGCCGACATCATTGCGGTCGCGAGCAATGGCGTGATTGCCGAGAAAGGCACGCACCACGAACTCATGAAGATTCCCAACGGCCTCTACGCCGCCCTTGTCTCGCGCCAGATGCAGCAGCCGAAATAAGAGCCTCTTGTGTCTGCCTCTTCAATTCTACCACTTGCGTTTTGTTTTTGCATGCGATTTGCACGCGTCGGATGTCAAGATGGAAGTGGGAAGTTGACAGAAGAGGCCAGTAGCAAGGAGCCGGGACATGTCGTTGCGGTGGTGGTGCTGTACTTTGCCGCATCGGGCCGTGTCTCGTTGTTATACCAGGCGTCACCGTGTACAAAAGGTTGTGTCGACGTGGTGAGAACCTAGGCGACTTGAGTACCAACCATGCAAGACAAAACTGGGGCTGGGTGCTTGCGGCGGACCATAGAAAGCACGATGTAGGTTAGGGCTCGATAGAGCTATCAGCAAGCGAGCGCCGAGTGCAAAATACATCTGATAATCACTACAATTTACACGACTTGGGACCGTTTAGTACCAGATGCATATGATGCTGAGAGGAAGCATTCGAGCATTCTTACAGTGTTAGCTAAAGTCAGCAAAGAAGGCAGCGTCCTTGGTGTGCACACGCGAGACAGACGCGATCGTAGGCTTTGGGATGGACGGAGGCGCGCGAAGGGAAGAGGCGGCGACAACGACCGAGATGGGGGCCGGGGATACACCCTTGAGAAGACGCGCTACAAAGTGCACTCGTGGCTGAGGCATGCTTTCCAGTGCGCTCGTCGATGCTCTGTCGGGCAGGAGCACAAACGACGAACTGGTGCGCACGGGGCCAAATCCAGAGTGAGACTTCGTAGCAAAAGTGAGCGGTAAAACCGCTGACGTGGCGGCTTGTCGAAGCATCGTTTGCGTAAATTGGTCCAATCACAAAGCTATTAAGTTAAACGAGCTTTTCCGATTGCCGCGTTGAAGCCAAGGGAATTTATTCCCTTGGTTGAAACCCAGCCAATCCCAACGCTAGCACATCCTATGATTTTCGAAACGAACCATGTCTGTGAAAATGGACCAACGCTTGCTGCCGGTCGAACATGCGCTGGGCTATCTCGACGCGTCAATGAGCTCCATTTCAAGGTGATGCTTGGAGCAGCTTGTGGTGTACGACCCGTGCTGCCTCCACAGCGGTCGATCGTGCAGAAAGGTGGGACATGGCTGCTAAATTCTTCGTCCCCGTCTTCATCTCGGTGAGAAGAAGAGAGAAGTTCTCGCTGACCGTTTGCATCTTGTAACGCGCCAACATCCCGCGCCACGATACCGGTTGCATAAAGCTGGTCGTCAACCATTGCCCCCCCTCGACAGTGCGCCCTTCGACATGGAATTGATTGGAAATCATTGGAAATGCGATCTATTCCTATGGCAGTGCACCTCGCCGTGGTGCACAAAATGACGCGTTTCGATGCTGGACCTGCCTTGTCGCAGCTGCACGCGTCTTGCGCACATACCGGGTACCGGTACCGAGCCAATCATCGCTTCGTAGCGATGGACCAATGCATGCTGTCCCACGGTGGCGTCTGGCCTATGTTTCGCTCGTCATGGCTTCGCGTCGGAGATCTCCTCGATGCGTTCCGGCTGGTGTCATCCATGCGGCTGGTTGTGCGCATCCCGGATGGAACACCATGCACCAACGCAGCTCGAACCGCAACGCAGGGCTCTGTGAATGCCAACAGCATGATCGTTGTTGGGGACGCTGTTGGATAGAATAGACTCGAGGCGAGACGTCGAAACTTCTTGGTCGCTGAATTGTCCTTCCAAGGCACCAGTTCAAGTGTATACACGAGCGCTGTACATTGTAGGAGGGCTTGAAGCGGCGCAGTAACTGTCAGAGGTTTCATTCAACACACATGTTTTAGATGTCGGAGCCGAACCGGCTCGCTCCGTGAAACATGAAGATGGCGTAGGCAGCGCAGATGGCGTCGCCGTCGCACAGAGGCTTCCGCGCAACCACAACTGTACCGAGCAGCAGCAGCGCGATGGCCGACGTGTGCCCCTATACCGGCATACCGGCGACACTCACAGCCGTGCGCGCCTACTGCAGTGCGCCAAGCGCCGCGTGCTCTGTCGACGCCACCTGCACGCGCAGTGGCGCGAGCTTCGCCGTGACCGCGGCGACCCCTGCCTTTCGCAACGTCTCTAACGTCGGTGATATGACCGAGTGGCCGACCGACGTGCCCTTGTATGCTTCGCCTTGCGTTGGGCCATCGATCCTGACACGGATCCGTCATCGTATAGGCAATTTGACACGTGCCCTGGCCTGCGCATCGACCAAATAAAGCTCCCGACCGCGCTGGAGGACATGTACGTCAATCATTCTCGGCTTCTTGGATGCTAGCGACCACTGATGGACTGATGCAGACGCTTTCTGCAGTGTGACTGGACAACCGTCCCCGCTGCTTTGGTGTACCCGCCGTCGCTCCGCCAAGTGTACGTCTGTCCTGTGCAAATCGACAGCGCGTTTATCATGACTTCAAAGGCACCTCAGTCGCAACCCGTTGACCGCCGTGCCAGAGGGTCTTCCGAGCGCTCTGGATGCCTTGTAGGCTGTGTTTGCTTCGATACGTCGTCACAGTTCTCCGCCATAGATACCTCGACGGGTGTCTTATAACGACGCTCGAGCAGCTGCCGCCACGCATCGGCTGCTTGTATGTCGCCAATACCCACGAACTCATTCTCACGCATTCGATGCACAGACACCTCGAGAGCAATCGCGTCTCGGCGCTGACCAGCGTGGACTTTGACGTTGAAAACCTGTGCGTCTCTCTTCTTTACGCTCTCGACTTACGCTTGTACGCTAGGTACTTCGGCGAGCTGCCTGCTGCAAGCACCGTCTTGAACGACCGTCCTGGCAACCCCATCGACACCATATACAACGTCACCTTCTCGGCGCGGCTGCGTCTTTTGTACGGTCAACTCGAAACGTGAACATAACGCTCACAATGGAGAGGGATATAGCGACTGCCCGCACTGCGCCATCACCACCTTTGTCGTGAACGAAGCCACCTACGCTGTGCTGCAAGCCGCCACCTTGTCGTTCAAAAGCGTCACGTTCAACGCGACAGCGTGCAACGCCGTGCTCGGCCGACCTGCCGTCCTGCATACTTGGTCGATCTGCGTCCTTCCCACCCGTACCTCTCTCTCACGTTGCTATGTCGTCTCTCACCTCTCCCCTCTCGGTAGCCGATGCAACAACGGACGGTCCATCGACCGCTGTGCTCGTTCAGATCGTCGCGGGGTGCCTCGTGCTTGTCATGGCGGCGATCTTACTTCTCGTGTGGCGTCGGCGCCGCCAGCACCGGCACTCGTCGACAGTGGTGTTTGAAGTCTACGACGACGGCGACGTGACGCCCGTCACCTCCATGTACGAGCCGCGCGAGACGCTTGACTCGTGCTCGCTCATTGTACCGGAGCTCGACACGATCAAGCATCTGCGTCTCGAGGCCAGTGACATCCTCCTCCTCGCGCCCATGAGTCAAGGCTCGTACGGCGAGGTGTGGCTCGCCCAGTACCAAAACGAGACGATCGCGATCAAGAAACCCATGCCGTCCTTTCTCTCGGCCACCAACATGCGACGCATGATCGGTGAGATCTCGCTCCTCTCTCGCCTCTCGAGTCCCTATGTTGTGACGCTTCTTGGCGCGTGCTGGAACCGACCCATGGACCTTATGATGGCCATGGAGCACATGGACGGCGGCAACCTCCAAGGACACCTCGCGCGCCACAGCCAAATTAGCTTGCCCTGGAGCTTCAAGCTCCAGAGCTTGGTGCAGATTGCCGAGGCACTCGCCTACCTCCATGCGATACCAGTCGTGCACCGCGACCTCAAGTGCAAGAACGTTCTTTTGGACGAAAAGAAGGGCACCAAGCTCGGCGGCTTTAGCATCTCGCGCGAGACGAGTGCGACCATGACCTTGGGCGCCGGTGGACACCGCTGGATGGCGCCCGAAGTGCTGCACGCGGCCGACTATTCGACGGCCGTCGACGTGTTTTCATTTGGTATGGCCTTGCCTTTGGCTTTCTTGTTCAAAAGTATGATCATGCTTGTAGGCATGGTGCTCACCGAGTGCGATTCGCACCGCGCCCCGTACGATAGGGAGATGGACCCGGACACGGGCAAGCTCCTCGCCGAGGTCGCGATCGCGCGCCGGGTGTCCATGGGCGAGCTCACGCCAACGTTTACAAGCACGTGTCCAGCGTGGCTCGAAGCACTGGCCACCCGCTGCATTGACTTGACACCGCAGAACCGACCGACAGCGGCGGATCTCGTGTGCGAACTGCGAGTGCTTTTGGCGGCCGAGCGATGCGAACACGACGGCGACGACGACGTGCGCAAGGACAGCCGCGACAGCCTAACTTAAAATTCTACCTGTGGATCCGACCGAAGGATCCGCGCGTCTGCACCACTGTGTTACGAGGTGTCGATACAGAAGCGACACTGTCATTTGCATGGGCGACTGCGGCACTTGCCCAGACGTGTCCACCACGTCGCCCCGAAGCAACCGAGCGAGGGCGTCGGGGCCAGGGCATTTCATGGGTTACGGTGCGTTGTGTGGATCCAGGGTGACAACGTTAGAGAGTTGGTGGACCATGGTACTAGCAATCCTATGACATTGTTGCAAGTTTTTAACAAGGGTATTGACCCTCTCTCAACCCGCTGTGCTGCACAGAGTGATCTAGGGTATTGACCCTGCTTGTATGGACCCGTGGTGCCACTCAACGTGCAATGGGGTGCTAGTAATACATCGAGATGAGCATCGCCACAATCGGTATCTGTCAGTGCCGTTGGCCAAGCAAGAACCGTTCAAGTCGCTGCCGTAAGTGCCGGCAGTCGCTGAACGCCTGTGGTCAGCTTCAACCATATGGTGTGCACCAGTGATCACTTGGCCTTTCTGCGAGTTTGCCTTTGCAACCACACACTGCATGCTTTCGCAGAGCGCGGGACGGCGAGGTACGTCCAGCAGGCACAGCACACATCGTACTAGTTGCAGTAGACCTACCGCGTATGTCGAGGCTCCTCGTGCTCGCCGGCATGGCCGTGCTGGTCGCTGTCCTCGGCTCCACGGCGCTGACACATGCAGCATTGCGCGCGAACGCGGCCGTCTTGGCGTCCATCACAACGACGACGCCCCCGCAAACCTTCCTAGCTCCTTACCGCCTGCCCCTCAAGTTTGCAGTGACGCACGTCACGCCGCGCAAGACCCAAGACACACGGAGCACGTGCTGGGCATTTGCGACGATTGCGATCCTCGAGCACGCGTACCGGCAGCAAGGCATCGCCAACGGATGGCTCGCGCCGCACGAGTACCTCTCGCTGTCCGAGCAAGCGTATGGCGCGAGCGTGCTTCGTCTCTGCACGTCTCGCAACGACAAGCCCCAGTGCTACAAGACGGCCGTCGACAACACAACCGAGGGCGGCTACATTGAGGCGTTTGCGCTGCTCCGCGCCAACCTCTCGGTGTTTCCAGACGCGATTTGCCCGTACGCGCCGGCGCCTGGCAGCGACACGACGTGTCCAAGCCTGCACAACGCGACGCTCACATCGAGCAACCCGCTGGCGTTCGCATTGCATCGCATGACCGAGTACTTTGGCCCTACCGACATGAAGACGGCTTTGGTCCGCAACCAACGGTACAATAGTGTACACATTGTACGCGATGGAAAGGACGTACACGAGCGCCGTCTGTAGAGCGCTCGGGTTTAGCACCGAGCTCGCAACGATCACGCACTACCTGCCGTGCATTGGGAACCGAACCTCCGACCCGCGCTGTGACGTGCGATCCAACGAGTGCGTGCTGTGCCCGCCAGGGTACCCAACAAGCTGCTGTCTCACGATTCAAGGCAAGTCAGACACCAACATGGACGGCGAGTTCACGTCGCATTACGGCATGGAGGCCGAGGGCGGCCACGCGATGCTCCTCGTTGGTTACAACGACGAGTATACGACCAAGGACGGCTACACCGGCGGCTACATCCTCAAGAACTCGTGGTGGGACGGCGTTGCGCGGCCGTTAGGTCCTCCAAGTGCGCACGGCAGCCACAGCATCCGCTACTTCATGCAGGTACCTCGTACCCTATCCCTGCCCTAGCCCGCACCTCTTTCTTTTCTAGG